GGTGGATCGAGGAGAAGACTTAGTCTTACCAGAATGAAGCAAGCTATTAAAAGAAAAAGTACAAACACAAAAGCACGCAGTTTGAGAAGATTGAAGGCTATCTTCTCTAGTACTTCAANAAGAACTCCTGAATACAATCTGGGAGACTCTTCGCCAATATCTTCTCAGTTTTCCTATAAAAGTAGTATCGAATCCAACGATACTTCTGTTGCTCCAGTTCGCTCTTCAGGTTCAATTTTAGAATTCTGCATGAATCCTGAATGTCTTGCAGTTTTCTCTACAAGCTCAATTCTGGAAAATATCCAGAACGATGAGACTGCTTCAGTCTTTTCTTGTGACTCAGGTTCAGATTTTTCTGATGAAGCATCTGAATTTGCATCCATTAGAGCCATAAAGTCANTTCCAGAGAGAATTGATTCGTCTGAGACCGTTGAAGTTTGCTCTTGTGACTTAGATCCAGAGATCATCCAACACAATGAAACTTCCAAATGCACTTCCAATTCGGCTGTGCAGTCAATCCCAGAGATAATTGTATCCTCTAATACTGGTGCACATTGCTCTTCTAGATCAGAGCCGGAGAATGTCCATGTTGATGAAGCTTCGGAATGCGCTTCCAGTTGGGATATGGAGTCTATCCAAGAGAGCATGGGCTCTTCCAGGGCTCCTGAATGCGCGTTAATATCACTACCAGAGGGTGAGGCTAATCTAAAGAGTGAATTAAAGGGGTTGTTACTACATCTAGAAAATGTTAAGGAGCAATTATATGAGTTGTGGCTTACTGAAGGCTCAAATCATCCTTTCTACTCCTTGTTGGACTCTCAAAGGTTGACCACTGAATCGGAGATATGTGCAATCAATTCGAAGCTAAACGCCGTTCACGATCAGGCTAGCGATATCCATGATGAGGACCAAAAAATAGTTCAAAATGAACCTGATTCACCAATTGTGAATGATCTTGCCTTACCCAAAAAAAGCTCCGAGGGGAGTGAGACCAACCTCAAGAACGAGTTGGAGAGGTTGTTAAAGGATCAAGAGCGTAATAAAGTGGAGTTAGCTCGCTGTACAGCGGCCTTGGGAACAGATAACCTTATAGAACGCATGCCGGAGATCCTGGACTTGAAATTTAAGCAGCGTCAAATTGCTCTGCAGATTTCTAAAATCAATTCCAAGTTAAATGCTGTTCAAGCTTTTCCTATTGCCGATAATCTAGCTGTGTCCAAAAAAAGCTCCGATAAGCATGAGGCTGATCTCAAGAAAGAGTTGGAGAAGTTGTTAAACGACCTTCAGCATAATAAGANGGAGTCCGACAAGTATAGGGAGGCTTATGGACCAGATAACCTCATGCAAGACGTTTTGGACTTCCGTAGGTCGGAGATCGAGCTGCGGATGCGTGAAATCAATTCCGAGTTGGATGCTGCTCAAGATTTGCCTATTAATCATCGCAATAAGGACCAGAAAATAGTTCAAAACGAACCTGCGTCAGCAATTGTGAATCATCCAGCTTACTCAAAAAGCTCTGAGAAGTGTGAGACGGGTCTCAAAAACGAGTTGGAGAAGTTGTTAAATGATCTTCAGCATACTGAGATGGACTATGTCAAGTATAGAGATGCGTGTGGACCAGGTACTCTTATGCAAGACGTCTTGGACTTCCGTCGGGCGGAAATTGAACTGCGGATACGTGAGATCAATTCCGAGATGAATGCTGGCCATTAGCTCTCATATCATCACACGAACCGTTTCTGCTTCTGCTGTTGTGTTTGATGTGTCTGTAATGCATTAAGAATCAATGCTGGTTGGGTTTGTTGACCACCATGGTATCTGCCTTAGAACAATTGCTCCATACATGCAGAGTTACACTAGGAATTGGGGGATTCCTAAGTGTGTAACGCCATGTTGCATGACGGAGGAGCAGTATTCTATGTGAAGGTTAATTGGGAACACACTCCTTACTGGCCGGTATCTACAGGGTCACCAACACATTGCTATTTTTGGTTACGGTATTTGGCGTTGCTCAAGGATATGGTTTAGCGTCGCTTATGGTTATGGTATTTAAGTTTGTTGAAGTATGGTTAAAGGTCGCTACCAGATATTAATTTACGACAGTATGATGTATGGTTTGTGTTATTGATATTTATTTGCTACGAATAAATAATAAAGTTTGAAGTGTAGGGATATGGAATAGGTCTGTTCGGCTATTTATCCAGGATCGTGGTGGAATTTGACTCCTCCAAAAGTCAAAAAAGGCATAAACGAATGAATTAACTCTTTTCCTCTTTCTGGTTTATATGTACCACGTATTAGCAACAAATGGCAGTTCATTTTCATGTTGAGGATAGATTGGTCTAGAGTATTATAGTGGTATTGTTGGTTTATTACAGTACGTATCTTAAGTTGACTTGCTCCATAGACCAGATATGTGGTTGTTAGGTCCTGATGAAGTGTGGATGTTAAACTTATCTTTAAAATTCGAAGTTAACTAGAGGGCATTTTCGATATAAAACTCAGTTATAGAGCCAAATTTCAGCTACGCCACGAGTCTCTTTCAGATTGATAAATACGGATTTTATTCTGTTTTGGTGTGGTAGCGCCTATTTTGCATCCAAAATACCACCCATGTCAGCGGTCCCGTGACACCAATTGTCATCTATCTACCAGATGAGGTATGACCCTTAATGATGGTTACACTCTAGCTATACGATCTCCGATCCGCTACGGCACACATCACTCTTAATCATCTGTGGCACACCCACAGATTTCAATCAGAACCCCTCTCCTTCCTTCACCAAACAAATGGAGGCATATTCATCGATCCACCCCTACGCCCGTTTGAGCCCCTAATGCTGTATCACGCCTCCAAGCATGCCACACGTCTACTTACAAATTCGAAAAGGATTTCGTGTGGTTCGGAATAATTTGTTTCTAATCCGCTGGCTGTCTTTTGTGGAGTCACAATGGACTTGGCCTGTTGAAACCTCCCTGGACTGCAGTTGATGAAGCAGTAACATAGCACATTGAAATACAGATCATTCAACGTCTTTTATTAGAGAAGGACCTTCATTGTATCTAAACTCATGCGTGGCTGTAAGTTATCGTGTGTAAGTGTCACTTATCAAATGCTTCCACATTCCCTGCTAGTTCAACATAGTGGCAATGAACATCCCTCGGAATGACACCACAATAAAAATGAAAGAATACTCCTTCTTAATTCATTTAATTTCCATCTAGATGATATAAGATAAGTACTCCACTCCCGTAGAAGAGACTGGCAAACCCTTGGTAGCCAGTGTTTTGTAGATATGATTCTGTGTATTAAATTGAATGTCCCACCGCCTAGTAGGTTGATAGTTGGTTTTGAAATTTACAAGGGGGTAAAAGAGAAGCTAAATGGTTAGAACATCCAGAGGGTTGAATTACCGCATGATATATCAAATATAGAAACTCATAATGATGTTCTAATGGTTGCCAAAAGTTGAAGGGCGCGCTTACGCAAGTTCCATTCAGCGCGCACTCCGTTCCGTATAAGGAAGTCTAGGAAACGCGTTTTGTGTAAGATGTTCTAGTTAATAACAAACAAGGACCTATCCTTAGATTTCCACCCAACTTCAGACTGAAGGTCTTACTGAGGACCCAACACCACTAGGCGGAAGATTAGCGTGGATGGACTTGTTAAATTTAGGTAGTCAATCCCGTAAAACCGGGCTCCGGCCTCGTGCTAATTTGACTAAGGACAAATACAATATGGATGACATCGACGAGTTCTTTTCAGACGATGAAAAGAGCCCCACCAATACGTTGCTAGCCAGGCGTGGTAATGGACAGCAAAGGACAGGAAGTTTGATCCTGGGTACTAAGGAGATTCATTCAAGCGCCACTGGGCGTAAAAGCGGTTCCTACAATCACTCAGTGACACCTAAGGATAATATAGATAATGTGGCGAGAATGATCAATTTCACTGACGCTGAGGCTGCCTCATTCAATTTGTCACCAATACTGTTGTCATCAAAGTATTCCGCCAAGAAGAAGAACAAGAAATCTCCATTGCGTTCGCCATTGCCAGAACGAAGCCAATCAAAGGGAAAGGAAGAATTTGATGATTTCAATATAGACCATGGGATGGATTATTACGATAACAACGGATTTGACTATGATGAGCAAGAAGATAACGATGAGGCAAGTCGAGATTTCGAAGATAAGGTATTGTCCCCTGTAAGTCACTCTCCAGTCACCAAACCTAAGCAAACAATCAAGAGCTCGACTTCCAAGAATAGTGGTTCTTCGTTAACTAAGAGCATGGCTTTGGGGGCTAATTCAAAAAGACGGAGACCAGCATTAATAGAAGACTCCGACGACGATGATGAAGAAACCACCAATGAATTCATAGAAGACAACAGCGAACTACCCTCCCCTCCTCCAACAACGAAGAAGTCAGTTGTAAGGCGACGCATTCAAGATAGAGTCTCAGAAACAGTAACACGCCCATCCCCACTTCCTTCTCCTCCACCAGATGGACTTCGTCGATCCAAAAGAACCAGGATTGCCCCATTGGCCTTTTGGAGAGGCGAAAGAATTGTCTACACACGGGCTTTCGAGTCAACTCAAGATCCAGATACAACCTTGGCAAATGATATAAAAAAGGTTCCATTACAGGAAATAAAGGAAGTTGTTCACATACCAGATACGGCTGGTGTAATAGCTAATACAACAAAAAAGAAAACAAGACTGAGATCAAAGCTAGGGTCCAAGAAAAAGGAATTAAAGGATTCATATGATTACGAATCTGATCCGGAGATATCTGGCTCTGAGTGGTTTAAAGACAAGGCCCTCACCCTTGTTGTTGTTGAGAATGATCAGAAAACCGAAAAGTTGGTTGCTGTAGCGCCCAATGGTGGTGATTTTGAGACACCAAGAGATGTCAATCCGGGTATGGATAATTTCACGATTGCTCCTCTTTTCAATCAGGACCAAGAATTCAATGCTACAGGACTAATTGATTTTCCTTTCGAAGGAGCCAAGCTGTTAAGGGATTCCGGGGATGTGATCTATAACTTTCACGTTGTAAAGGGCTTGATTGAAGTCAATCTAAATAACGAGAAGTTCATCGTTACCAGAGGGTGTTCTTTTCAAATCCCAAGCAAAAACACATACGGGTTCAAAAATATTGGAAATTGTCCGGCTAGATTGTACTTCGTACAGAGCCGGATCCCTAACAATGAGCTGGATGATGAGAGTTGGTAACTTACACCTTTGCATATCTTTTGTACAATAGTTAGTCTATATTTTCAACATATAGCATTAATGCCATTAATAATTAACGAATTGATTGATACGACTTGCAAAAGTTCATTAAAATCTATATAAAGACGAATATGGTACACAAATCACTAAATTGAAAAGACTAAGAGAAGCATTGTTCAGGCTCCATGTATGCAAAAGAAAGATCCACAAGTGTCACCACTATTTTACAAAATGAACCGGGCCAGGTACTAATATCAATATTGGTATGTTCCGTGAAATGAAGGGTCACTCAAATACCAGAGGTTGGCATCTATGCAAGACTGCGTTTCTTTCTTGCCCTTCACGGCTCACTGACTGGATTCACTTTAGGCCTTGAAGTAAAAGTGAATTTATTTTTTCAATTCTGTGATTTCAGAGCTTTCATTATCATAGTATGCAACTACTTTTACCTTGAACTCTGATGCAGCAACACCAAATTGCTTCAAAATCAAGGCTTGTCTGACGTCCAAAGTCTCATCTTTGCGACAAACAACGTAAGGTTCACTGAGGACAATCTTACCGGCTTTAATCTTAGTTGGAATCTTGTACTTGTTTCTCATGGTTTCCTCTAAGGAGTGAGACATTGGAACATCTTCCTCAATGGCGATTTGACCACCTCTTGAATATACAATACCTTCTGGGATAGTGAAATCTATTGGGGCCTTAGACTTTGCTCTGGAGTAATCCTGCTTAGTGTAAGCAGTGAAATAAGCTTCAACAGTGTCTGGCAGCTCGTTGGTAAATAACAATCCAGGAAGACCAGCACAGGTTTTGGACAACTTGTGCAAGTTATCTTTGTACTCCTCTTCAGGAGTGTCACCTAAAGCCTTTTCCAAAACTCTTCTCTTACCCAAGATCAACTTGGAACCATTCCAATCGGTTCTAATATCTTGCAAAACTGGAGTACGGACATCATCGAGCTGTAAAACCCAGACATATTGAAACTCATCTAAGGCAGCTCTTACCTCGTCAAAGATACGAGTCTTGTTTTCCTTTCCCTTCTTGTCAGTTTGGGCCAAGGTCACGAGCTTGGAACGTCTAGATCTAGGCATTTTGAATGTTCTTTAGTAGATGCTATTTAGGTATTGATCAGTACTATTCACGAATTTTTCAATAGTGTGCATCTCATCTTGCGATGCGGAAAAAAAAATGAATCACGTGATCCGGACTCTATCCACTACTAGGAATCCCTAAACCCACCAAAGAGCTGCATGAGTATTCTTCGCCATACTTGAAGGGGGCTTATCTAGGAGATTCGGACTGCATTAAGTGGTGTTTCATTCACTTTACGGGGTGATGAGCATTTACATGTAACTCAGTAAATTTAATTACTGATGTAATTTCTCTAAATTCTAGTTTAGCACAGATTCTAAAGTAGCATGAGTGCCCATAATCACCAAGTTAAAGTAGTAAAGCTGACGTACTTCCACATACGAATTGTTGCAAAGAACAACGATCCATAATAATTAACTGGGAATTCCAAACAGTTGATCTAATTTGTGGCTATACTCTTTTTGATGAAGCTAGTTTCAAATTTTCCTAGCCGAATATAAAGCTTTCATGTTCAATAAGATGTTTGCTTAGAATCAATCGCGATGGAAAGTTACTGAATTCTCCAAGCTGAGTCCAAAACTAACTTACTTACTGAGTCTAAATGAAGCTTAGTCGTTTAATATTTGACTTCAAATGCTTGCATCAAACTTATCTACACGGTGTTTATTGATCATGCATATATTACTGTGAAATAGAATACATGGATGAGATACTCTCAAGACAACTATTGATCATGAAATGGAGGCTACAAAACTTTTGAGCGAATCAACCCGTGGTTCCTTAACACTTACTAAGGACCAAAATCCAGGAAGTTCTAAGCTTAGCATGATCAATAATTAGTTTCAAAAACTGTTCTTCTTTTGAAAGGTGGCATAGTCGGAAATTGGTCCTTACGCCCATGGTTGAATGCAATTGATTATAATGTATAATACAGGTGTGGTACATAGAATACTCTATGACAACTACCAATCACCTGGAACAAGTGGACCCCTTTCCACTGGAATGTTTCTTTGATACTTGGTGCCCCCTGGTCTGCATGGGGTAATATAAGGGTCAGGGTGTTTCCATTCAGCTAACTTCCCCTGAGTGGCTTGAATAATCTTTTCCAATTCACTTGGATCGTTCACGGTTTTGTTTGCTTCAAATTGTGCTCTAATCTTTATGGTTTCTTTACGGTAAGCATCGAATTTCAATGAGCTGTCAAAAGCAGTTCTCAAAGCTTGTCTGAATAATGATGCAACTCTCTTCGAGTTAGCCTCGGTAAAGGGTAAGATAGGACTAGACATCTTGTGCTTCTATTGGTAGACGAAATCGCTAATTTGTACTCAATTCATTCGAAATAGAAAATTTAAAAATCTCTCTCGTTCTATTGGACGCTTTATGTGCAGGAAATGTCACCAAGAGGATTCGATCGCTAAATTAATACAATCGTGAACCCATTGAAGTTGTCCAGAACAATTGTAAATGACGAATAAGAATATACACTACAATTATCATCAATTTTGACAATTTTTAAAAGATAAAGTATTCATAGTACAATCGTGAATTATCACGTGATTAGATATGTTGCTCTACGGCCATCAAGCTACCCACAAAGGATAACACCAACCTGCTTCTGACCTCGTTGATGTCCTCAGGGACCAACCAGATCAAGGCTCCCAACTTTCTAGCAATAGAAATTGCTAACTTGGCATTGGCATATCTTTCTTCTTCGGATTTTCCTTCGTAGACCAAATCATAGTCGACATACCCAGGTTTCAAACCATTCAAAACATCCAAAAGGAAAACACCAGTTGAGATGGATTGATCCTTGAACGATCTGATAGCAGATCCTTTACCACCTTTGGCCACTTGTCCGTTTGCCCATTTCAAAATGTCTGAATCAGTCGAGTTACTGTTGTTTCCCAACTTGGAAAGAGTGTTGGTAATGTTGCGCCTCATCAATTGCCAAACCAATCCTAAAGTCAACAATTTATTTCCATCAACAATATCAGATCCTTCGATTCCAACTAAAGAAAACTTGTTAGCTTTTCCAATCTCTACAGAGTAATTGGTATTTTCCAAAGCCTTGAAACGAGACAACTCGCTTGTTGCTGGTTTTTTGTTGACGTGTTTAAAAGAAACAGAGCCAGGCATAACTTTATCGAAAGCTTGCAATAAAACCAAACCATCTTTCAAATCCTCAAACAAAGACACAATTGGGGGGTCCACATCCAATGAGTTCAACCATAATGTAAAAACTCTTGCCTCTCTCTCTCCTTCAGCATCAAATTCTTCAATCTCGATGTGTTCATTTTCTTCTATCGGATCTAAACCTGGATAAGTATTGAATAAATGAGCCACGAAAGCCAAGTTCAATTTAGGATTACCCGAAACTAATGAAGAAGGAGTCAAGTATTTTCTGCATCCAATCTTTTCAGCGTTATCAAGTACTTGCTCAGCACGCTGATTGATGTTTGTAGTTTGCAAAGGAGACAAATCGCAATACTCCGGTTGCAATTGATTCAACAAGACAGTATAGTTCTCACCATCATTGATGTCTTTCGAAAAGTTTGATACTCTCCTTTGAGAACCAGCATTTTTCAAGTGATAATTGAACCAGCGCAACAAAATCTGCTCAGGAGGTAATCTCAAGAATTGTTCAAGAGTCTCGTCATCTTCTAACAAGCGATATAACTCCGGATGGTACTTGATGTCAACTTTCGATAACAAACCTCTTCTGATGATTTGCCAAATTAAACCCAAAATCAAATGCTCCTTACCATCAATGATGTCCTCGGAATGCACATTGACAACAACACATCCAATGGCCTTGGCAGAGTTGATAACAATGTTCGCATTCTCAGACATTTGAAAATTGTTCAAAGCCTTTTTATTCTTGGGTAAATTCAAAACTCTGGTATCAATTGTATCAGGTACTGAGTCATTGATCAACTTCGACAAGACCAAACCATCTCTGCATTCATCAAAAATTTGAAAGGTTTCGGTATCAAATGGTAAACGATTACCAATTTCCGGGTCATCACCAAGAACAGAATTAATATGTCTTGTAAATTCAGTTCTCTCTTCATCGTTAATAGTATGGGTTGTTCCCGAAGTTTTTCCTGAGATGTAAGTCTTATGAGTTGCATCATTAGTAGGAACAGGTGGAGCTGGTTTGTTTAAAGGGCGTCCGGGTGCCTGGGGCTTTGATGAAGCTGGAGGGCTCTCATCCTCCTTTAACTTGGCTATCAATTCCACGTAATCGTCCAATTCAACGTGACCAGAAGCATCGAGATCTACGCGCTTCAATGCTTCTCTAGTTTGGTCATAAGTGTAGTTACCTTTCAGTGAAACTGACGATATGATGTCCTTCTTTTCGACCCATCCATTATCAGAAATGTCAATACTCCGAAAATCTTCAATGATATTGAAGATATCTGATTGTTGCAAGACTGGATACTTCTTCAGGTACTTCAAAACATTCATCTTTGGGGGCAATTGGCTTGTCGTACTCTAGTTCGGTGAATTGTTAAAGGTAACTCTTGATTTGTACGCCGAGGCAAATTGAACTCTCTGTTGAATAAACGTCTGTTGCCGCTTTTTTTAAAGGGGCACTATCCGCACAGTAAAAACGTGACTAACTTCCAGCACCGCCATTGAGGTCACAGGTGCCATCCAAGGTAAACGACCTTTGTTTTCTGCACAAAGATGAAGGGGAATAGAACTACTCCTCCGCATTCTCTGGGATACCACCTATCACCTCGATGGTGCCCCGATAGAAGTATGTGCAGCGTAAGTAGCAAGAGTTCTCGCCTCTCTTGGTTAGCACATTTGAGACTGTAGATTATAACTAGGGTAGTTTTGCATGAGACTGTTAAACCGCGTACCAACTAGGGCGCAAGCAGTTCTTATTGAAGAGTATCGTAGTTTCCTTCATAGTGCTTACTAGGGCACTTGATACTGGCTGGCATTCTTGTGTGCAGTATCGGCTCGCTCAACCGATTATCAATAGTGTGAAGCCACTCATGCTGACTTCAAGTCCAAACAATATGAAGCAGGGTGACAAAGACATCCTGTTGGAAGTAAACCTGGCTCCAATTGGAATTGAAGAAGCTACATCGCTGGATGGGTCTAATGGCGAATTTATTAATGATAAGCCAACCTTTGAAATCGAACAGGTCCAACTTCAGTTTGGGCTCAACAAAAGTCTACGTCATTTGGCAGTACAGAGTAACAAGATGTTTTTGGTTCTTGATTCCGTGTTGTACAAGATAGATTTGAGTAATCCGTCCAAAGTGCAGAAGTTTCAGGTTCCGACAGCACCACAAGGCAAAGTGACAAATATCTGGCTTCATCATAATGGAAAACATTTATTCATTCAAGTCAATCACAACTCTTATTATTACTTACACGAGTCATATAATTCATTCAAGATTTTGCCTAAATTCAAGAACTTGAATATCGAATGTATTGCATTTGCTGAAGCTCCCCTTAATGAATCCACCGGGGACTTCCTTATTGGAACCACGGATAGTACGATATACATTGCATTAGTAAAACCACATGACCCTAATACTCAAAATAACAAAAGGGATGATAAATATATTAAATTGGCATTCAAGCCCTCGATAGAGAATAGGATCAGAGGTCTCACTTTCTCTCAAAATTGCACTCAAGCCAATCTCATAACAGACAAATCTATTTATTCATGGGACTTTTTCGATACTACCTACTCCGAAATTCTCAAAGTATTAAAATCGACGCCTCCAAAAGTGACTATTATACCCGAATCTGATGATTTCCTTTTCGTAACAGACAATACGCAGTTCGTATATTTAACATTGCCGCAGAACATTATCTTTTCCCAGGATTATGAAATAGAACTTTCGCAAACAAGAAATCTAACGTTGGAAGGTGATAGTTTTTCCAGCTCGAATGCAATTTTGTTGTCACCTCATCATTTGCTAATGTTAAATAAGAGCCATGACACCTTATTGGTTTACAATAAGCTCTCGTTATCCTTGCCTCCCTTGAAAGTTATTTTAAAAGATCAAATTGGACTTGACCAGATAATTACAGGAATGACATTTGATCACAACTCACGTACATATTGGCTTTTTACGAGCAGTTCAATTTTTGAGCTTGTAATTCAAAATGAGTCTATATCTGTGTGGTACAACTATTATAAGTTGGGAAAATACGAAGAAGCTTTGAAATGCCTTCAAAATGGGGAGTCAAAGAATAATTTCCATAAGAAAGATCTTGTCATGATCGAACAAGGCTATCAATTTTTGCAAGAAGGAGGCTTTGGGGTGGATCACATGGAATTGGAAAACAGTAACATGGAATTAGACACAGAAGTTGAGAGCAAAACAACCGTGGAGGATTCCATTGCATTACAAGTTAAAGGAATCAAGATTTTAGGAAACCTGACTGAACCATTTGAAAAGATTTGTTTAATGCTTTTAAATGTTCAACAAAACTCGAAATTGGTTCGTAGTCCCGGTGAAAATTCCAATATTTCAATGAGTTCATCTTTGTTTTTGAGCATCATCTCTCAAAAGCTATTAATTGAATACCTATTGGCAAAGTTTGATATTGCTAAAAATCAAGAAAAAAATAAAATCCGTGTTATCATCCTCTCCAGTTGGATTGTGGAGTTGATGTTAAGAATTATATACCGACTTGAGTATGATGTTAACAACAGTAAGTCATGGCAAGATTTACCTCAATCATACCAAGAAACGACCTTAGCGTCACACAAAGAAAAATTGTTAGATGAGTTGAACAAAGGCTTGAAGCAGTTCTTGCACTCAAATTACAGGAATTTAGATCGCGAGACCATCTATCAAATAATAGGTGAACTACACTATCCTTCCAAGTTACTTTACTATGCAGAATTAATCGAGGATTTTGAATTCATTTTGAGATATCATATCGATACGTATAATTGGAAAGAGAGTCTAAAGGCATTGGTGAAAATTTACACCTCTGCTCGTAAGAATTCCAAGGATGTCATTTATGCATTCGCTACCGTGTTGCTAGTAAATGCACCCAAATTAACTGTTGAAACTTGGTTGAAATTCAACAATGACATTGAATACGAGAGATTATTACCTGCAATCTTGACGTATAACAAAAATAATCACCATATACAATTGCATGAGAATTACAGTCTTCACTTCTTACTGAAAATTATTTACGACAAAGGAATACGAAGCAAACAAATCAACAACTATTACTTATCATTGTTAATAACTTATCCTGGAAACAAGAGCATCTCATCCAAACTGGTTATCAAATTTTTGAATCAAATGAAACATGAAGCCTCCCCAAAATTAAGAAAATCTCAACTTTATGACACTCATTTTATCTTAAGACTCTGCTTGGCACACAAACAGTACCACGCAGCAGTATTGATTTTGTTAAACGACATGTCGTTATTCGAGCAAGGATTGAAGCTAGCATTGGACAATGATTTGAGCGATTTAGCCGAATTTGTGTTGAGAAAATATGATGAGTTTATATCAAACAATGGCGAATTGAAAGTCACCCGTTTAAATACAACAAAAGATGAGATTACAGGGAGGTTAATTAATGGAGACTGGGAACAAGATATCGATCAGGTAAGCAAAATCAGCATGGAAGAAGAAAGGTATTCTTCTAGAAAACAACTATGGATAATGTACTCAAAATACTTAATAAAAAGGGTTTCCGATGGAAAGGGCTCTGATTTCTTGAATCGCATCGATGTTACCACGGAATCAGCGAGTGAGATCAAGAACGAAACACGAGAGGGTGTTCCCAGTGTTCTGGATGTTACGAACGAAATCGCGCTGACAATGCTCAGCCAATTGAATGAGGAAGATGCAAAGGCACCTGATCTGGAACTTTTTAACCAAGTTTTGAAATATATTTTAAGTCTTTCCAATTCTAGCAACAACATTGGAATTTTGGGACTCAATGACATTTTGCCACTTTTCCCAGAAAGCATTATGATTAGTAAGTTCAAGGATGAAATAGTGAAATCACTCAACCAGTATAACAATAAGATTAGTCAACTATCACTTGAGATGCAAGAATCGCTACATATATCATCCAACTTGAAGCAAAAAATTAGAGAATTTAATAAGGATTCGTATAAATCGGGGGTTCACTCAATAGTTCAACCCGGGGAACCATGTCAACTCTGTTCGAAGTTGTTGATTGGAAAGAACTTTGTCTACTTTCCAAATTGTCACCACGGATGCCATAAGGATTGTTTAATAAGGCATCTTCTTAAACTGAGAGGTAATTACAGGTTCAAAAAGATCTTTCTGAACTTCAATAAGAATCCTTCAGCTGTGAATAAGAATGAGTTAGACGAGATTTTACGGAAAGAGTGCATACTTTGCAACGATGCTAACATCGATATGATCGACCAAGCAATTATCGACACAAATATTTTATTTGAAGACTCACAAGCTTGGGAATTATAAATTTCAGTTATTTGGATTGCGGATGGTTAACTGACGCCACAAACTAGTCTTTTAATTATGTTGGAATAGAAACTTCTTCCTGTAGATAACAATCCTGCACATATGATTGCGATGATTGCGATGATTTCGTCATTTTTGTGTAATCACCAAGGCACCTCATCACTAGAAAGTTTTTAAAATGTTTGAGACTCACTAGCTACAACTGGATAATGGGTAAAACACAAAAGAAGAATAGCAAGGGTCGTTTAGATAGATATTACTACTTAGCAAAGGAGAAAGGATATCGTGCCCGTTCTTCTTTTAAGATTGTTCAGATTAATGAAAAGTATGGACACTTCTTAGAAAAGTCTAAGGTAGTCATCGATTTGTGTGCTGCACCAGGTTCCTGGTGTCAAGTAGCTTCACAATTATGTCCAGTGAACTCTTTGATTATCGGTGTCGATATTGTTCCAATCAAGCCACTTCCAAATTGTATTACGTTTCAATCAGATATCACAACCGAGGACTGTCGTTCTAAATTAAGAGGGCACATGAAAACATGGAAAGCGGATACCGTTTTGCATGATGGTGCCCCTAATGTCGGTTTGGGTTGGGTTCAGGATGCCTTCACACAATCTCAGTTGACATTACAGGCATTGAAATTAGCAGTTGAAAATTTGAATGCTGGTGGTACCTTTGTCACCAAAATTTTCAGGTCGAGAGATTACAACAATTTGATGTGGGTCTTTCAACAATTATTTGAGAAAGTTGAGGCTACAAAACCACCTGCTTCGCGTAATGTTTCTGCTGAAATTTTTGTGGTCTGTAAGGGTTTTAAAGCACCAAAAAAATTAGATCCAAGATTGTTAGATCCTAAAGAGGTCTTTGAAGAGCTCGCGACTTCAACAACCAACAATGAAGCTAAGATTTTCAATCCAGAAAAAAAGACTAGACATAGAACTGGTTATGAGGAAGGTGATTACTTATTATACCACACAATGCCAATCATTGAGTTTGTCAAGAATGAAGATCCTATAAATACTTTGGGAACTCTCAATAAGTTAGATCTTCCAGAAAAAGATGATCACGAATGGAAAATTTTAAGAAAACTTCAATCATGTACTCCTGAACTTTTGGAATGTATCAAGGATTTAAAGGTCTTAGGAAGAAAGGAATTTAAATTGATATTAAAATTCAGAAAACAAGCCCGTGAATTGTTAGGTTTGGATGAAAATGAGGATGACAAAGGAGATATGGTTGAGGTGGAACCATTGACAGAGGATCAACAAATCGAAAAAGAGTTGCAAGATTTAACTGACAAACAGAAACAAAAGGCTAAGAGAGAGAAAAAGCGAGCAAATGAATTGAAACAAAAGGAAATTGTAAGAAATCAAATGAACATGTTAACTGATATGAATATTGGTATCGATGCTGCACAAATTGGAGCTGAATCCTTGTTTAATTTAAAGACTGCTGAAAAAACAGGTGAATTGGACAAGCTAGCAAAAGGAAAGAAAAAGATGATTTTTACTGATGAGCTGAGAGCAAAGGACACTGAAATTCACTTTGATGAAAATGAAGCTGAGTCTGCAGATGAGTTAGATGATTTAGAAGCCCAGTTGGATGATATGTACAGTGCTTATCAGAATAGAAAAGCTGAGAGAGATGCTAATTACCGAGCAAAGCAAACCAGAGGAGATGTTGATGATGAAGGTTGGGATGGTATCAAATCAGAAGATGAAGACGAAGTTGAAGCCGAAAAGGATTACGAAATGGATGGTGATTCTGAACTGGATTCTGATGATGATGAGCATATAAGGTTAATTGCAGAAAAAAATAAAGATGGATTGTCAAAGAACGCTAAAGTCTTCTTTGCTTCAGATTCCATCTTTGGAGAGTTGGGGGATGATGCCTTATTGGAAGAAATTGCTAAAAGCCAATCTGCTCAAACCACACCATCGAATCCTGTCGTTAAGCAAAGCGCAGATCTTAATGAAGATAGCAGTGATGAAGGGATGACTGATGAAGATTCTGACTTTGAAATCGTTCCAGCTGAAGGTGAAGAAGTGAATTCTGAATCAGATTCAGATTCAGAAAGTGATGGCTTGTCAAGACAATTCTCTCGGGCAAAAACACAGCAAGAAAAGGTAGACCTTGCGACTGTTGAAGCGATGACCTTGGCACATCAAGTTGCCTTAGGACAAATGAACAAGTACGATTTAATTGATGAGGGAATAAACAGATATTCCTTCAGAGATAAAGAAGATTTGCCTGATTGGTTCATTCACGATGAGAAGAAGCATTCGAAAATAGTCAAGCCCATCACAAAGGAAGCGGCCTTAGCGATCAAAGAAAAGGAGAGACAACTTAACGCTAGACCAATTAAGAAGGTATTGGAAGCTCAGGGCCGTAAGAAGATGAGAGCCTTGAGAAGATTGGAAAAGTTAAAGAAGAAGTCTGACTTGATTAATGATGACAGTGGTAAATCTGAAAGAGACAAAGCTGAAGAGATCCAAAAGTTAATGAAGAAAATGACTAAGAAACAAAAGACAAAGCCAAAGGTTACATTAGTTGTTGCTGCAGGCTCAAATAGAGGTTTAAGTGGAAGACCAAAGGGAGTGAAGGGTAAATATAAGATGGTTGATGGTGTTATGAAGAATGAACAAAGAGCATTGAGAAGAATCGCCAAAAAGCACAAGAAGTGAAAGAAATCTCTTTGTTTGCATGGATTGGTATAAGTATTTAACTTATTATAATATATAAACTAAACAATTATTAAAACTTCAAATTACAATGAGTTGAATAATGTAACTTGAAGTTGAGGGATTAGCTCACTTTTTATTAGGTTATTTCATGTTGAATGCTTGACTTGGGTGAGTGCAAGGTTAAAGGCTAAGTTTAGTCTGATTTTTTATCAGATTTTCAGACACGCCCTAGTAGTAGGTGCCAAAGAACTGGGACAATTCCTGAGTTCAGGAATATCTGTTCATCTTAGAGCAAACAGTATGATGTAGCTGCAACCTGTGAAAAGAGCTATTTTCGAAAGTACAATTAAATGAAAAGGTGTTATAATTTTTCCATTATTATCATAAAATTCGACAAAAATGGCGATTTTGTAAGAATGGTGAAATATTTTGATTTTCTATAATGATCATGATTCCCATAGAGATAGTGAACCACCCGCACTTCATTTGTAGAAGTAAAGTGTCGAAGTCAAGTAAACTAGATTGCGGATTGATTGGTTTTGAACCCAATCGGACCTATATATCCGACTCCACCTTCTACAATGATGACCATATATGTCTGGAAACCGGTGAATCTCATAAGTTCTAATCTACTCAAGACTTAGGGCTATACCCTAGCACATTATGAAGTATGTTAGGTTACATATACGAAATTTTTTTTTTTCTGAGACAGTGCTCCTCGTTTGCCTTTACACGAGTTTGTTGATATTTTCTGGTACGAACAGTTAGATGAACTAGCGTTTACATAGCATACTTGATCGTTGTCGTGCGATAGCGGTCGATTATTGAAGCTATCAGCGTGGACTTTACTTTCTCGGAAGAATTCAACTGAGCTTCCGGTGATTAAGGGTTGTAACATCCTAGGTAAGTTCTACAACAAAGGCTGCCCACTCCTTCTGGAGCGGCTGTGTTCCAATTTCAATATTCCAAATTACCGTGAGTGCCACTCAGGCATCAACTTTGATCTGATTGTTAATTGCTCTATCCCTATTCATTACAGGAAGAACGGCAATTGAATTGAAACTACAACCACAAGAAATTACTTGCTTTCAGTACAACATCCAATCCAAGAGTCATCAATCTTTCTTTTACTTCATTGTCCCCCTTGAACTCTCACCAGGATTGAATAGCATAATGAGTTCATTGCCGAATCTGTCTAATCATTTGTCGGTGACACCACTGGGAGGAGGAACCCACAGACATCGAAGGTCAGCAGCAATATCTGGTGATTTTGATGCCATGGGCTTAGGCCTCTTCTCTCCATCTCCTAGCTCCAAGTCATTGAATAATATTAGTATTGGAAATGCATCGAAAGGAAGTGAACCCGATTTTCAGAAGCACTATAATTTTAACAATTGCGAAGATTTTACAAACAAACCTAGTTCAAGCGAGTTTTCGTTCCCAGCTACCACACCCGATTTCTCCAAGCCTTCTAATGGATCACCGCGCCTCTTTGGTGCTCTCTCTCCGTCTCGAAAAACATTGTACCACAGTTCCAATAGCTTGAATTCTCCTATCAAATTAAATCACAAACGAGCCGCGTCACACAATAGCATTTTGAATAACAAGAACAGATTTTTTCATACAGAAGAACCACCACACATAAACGAAAACTTACCAGATGCTGTGATTGATTTGGATGAGATATTGAACTCCAATTTACATATAGGGGAAGGAAGCTATATGTCGAACAATAATTTAAACTCTAATTTTCAAGGTAACAATTCCAAAATCGAGTCAGCACAAAGAGATTTCTTTCCAGAAGATGACTTTTTGGCTTCACCATTTGTGAAGCAATCTTCTTCACCATTCATATCTTCCCCTTTAAATTCGTATTCTAACATCAATTCTACTACATTGAATCATAGTCTCAATAGTAACTCGGGTTTATTGTTCAGTCAACCGATTCAAGAGAACTCAGACGATATAGAGGAAGAGGATTGTGAGGAAATTTTTGATGATCAGAGGCAGCAGTCTATTGAATACCCAGTCTCAGAAATAGAAAACCCAAACGAGCTTTTTACAAGCTTGCCCCCTAATCATACTTTGGGAACCAGTGTTATGTATGCAAATGTGTCTGCTAGCTCTTCTTGCTCGAGTTTGAGAAGTACAAATATTAAGACATCTTCCCAAAATCTTATCGAAAAGACCTTATCGAACTCATCAAAAGACTCTTCTTCATCAACCTATAACCTAAGTAATTCGAACACCCCAAGTTTACCCCTACTCGCATCAACTCCCACAGGAAAGAGATCAGGTGCAAAAGCTAACAGGTATCAAATTTTCTATGACCAATCGAATAGAATTTCCAATGCCCTAAAAATATCATCTTCTGAAAGCATTAATATTGTGAGGTCTAACAGTAGTGGCAATAACTTTACGAACACTGGTCAGAGTAGATCGTTAGGTCATTCTTCAAGTTTACCCAGTCTCAAATCAAATCCTAAGAGAGCAGCCTCGTTTCAAAATCGTCAAAACATATCCAGATTTAATCTCACCTCTGAGAGTAAAAGAGTTAATTCACTGCCTATTCATGCATTTTCACAGGATAAGTTTGTTCCTAATGCATCTCCAGTTTTTCCTCCAATAAGACAGCACGACTCGGGCAATTCTCCTGAAAGACTTAACTCTCCAAGTCAATCTACTAATAATAAACAAGCAAAATTCACACTGGCAACTAACAACAAACCAACTCATCTCGTTGGACCAACTGCCTCTTCACAGTCTAAAAATGTTTCCGCAAGTCCGACGAGTGTTACCTCTGAAGTTTCATCCACGGCAATATCAAGCAATGAAACAATCCCATCAACTGATCATTCTTCGTTGGCATCCCATAATGAGCTTATTAACGGTAAGTCCAGCGCAACAAGAGAGGTTTCGAAGAGTCATGTATTGTCTACTCCATCAGCATTGCTGCTGCTGGTTCAGAAAGATAGTGAGAAAACATTCGCTATTGATCGAACTTGTAGCACTACTCCTTCTATTGTGATTAGCTCCGGATATGATGGGATGTCACCCCCCTCTACAAGCTCCACTTTCAAGCAGGGATACTTTTCAGATGAACAGTTGCCATCGCAAAATAACGAAGGCAAAATGCTGGGAAACGAATCAACTGCAGGTACAGGAGGAGGGTCTGTCTGTGACAATGTAATATCACCGACTGTACAAAGTTTTTCCATTAGTTTGAAAGACTCCGGAAACAGCTCCATGAAATCATCAAAGTCATCACTACACTATTCTTCAAAGTCATCACCAAAAAAACCATCACCAAGGAGACCTATGTCTTCTTCAGAAGAGAAAATTTTGAAACTGACAGAAATACCCGCTTTCAAGGGCAAGAATACACAACCAAGGACAACACCTGTTAATGAACAGAAGTATGACTCTAAGAGTTTCGTGACTCCAACACAACCAAACTTATCAAAGTTTGATAATATTTCTCCTCTGGGGGAAGATCAAAAGCCCATGTCGATCACAGACAATCCATTTTTAGTCAGACATGATCATAGAGGTACAAGTTATCAGATTTTGGGCAAACCATCATCCAAATCCTCCGAAATAACTCCGAAATCGCAAGTTTTGGGACTGCATTCACCGGAGAGTTCAGTTCAAAGAAGAGGGTCCGTATTCTCAACGATATCAGTACCAACATTCAGCAACGGTGATACTAAACAAAGTATGGCGTCTTCAAGAAGGCGCCACTCGAAGACCAAGTCATTCTCATTCTCCATGTATGATCTAACTCCTAAAATCTCCAGATCATCTACTCTCAGAGACGAAGAATCTGATCCTTCACTTAACAAGCGAAAAACCAATAAATTCATCCAATGGTTCAGAAAAAAATAGTATCAAGAATATAGTACTTCATTTCAACTTTGCATCGAAAGGCATTCTCAAGGTCAAAGCATTTGCATCTTAGAAGATGTACTAGGGTTTCTTAACGAGACTTCTTTGTAATGATTTAATCCTTGAAAGATTACATCCAGCAACCGCAGACTTGCTCATTTTCAACTAATATTGTAGACACAGGTAGAAATCCAGGCACACACCACTTTATTAGTATATCTGTTAGTACTCATGAAAATATGGTGTCAGAGAAACGTGCGTTCCGTATAACTAGCGAGAAGCATTTTGTAATATGCACCACGTATAAAAAGCTACAACAGAATATAAAATCTTGAAATTGATTATCAATTAGTAACAGGGCATACTCTAAGCACTTTCATTCGTGAAAAAAGCTCACCTACAATTTTTGAGTTAGATTATACGATCGGAAATAGTGGACTCTCTGTTTCTAGTCGTCGCCCCAACTGTCAGATTATTACAATTGGCAGGTCCTAGAAGTTACAGGATCAACTTTGCTACAATAAGGATTTCTAAAGATGTCATGAATCATCTGTTGTCCTTGGTTCCTAGCATTTACGACAGAGTAGTTGCTCTCCTGCCAAAACATCCACAAATCACATGTCCATGTTGGTAGGCACTGCAGCCATGGGAATTGCATGTTGAATGTCAGGCAGTACAATTTGGCAATCTGGATAAAGTGGTGCAGATCAACAAAAAACAAGATGACCTTGAATTGATTGGTATGGATTACCTGTTCATAATAAAATCTCGAAGACTGTATTATGATTTTGCGTCTATCGATGACTGGAATTTTGATGGACTTCTTGGGAGCCGGACTTTGAGAGAGTTGCTAAAGCTTCTAAGAGATTGTCAAGAGTCTTTGAGGCTTCTTGAGTATGGTGACACTCTTTTTACCACTTCCTCTCTAATCGCATGTGGGACGTTGCAATCCAGGTACTAGCAACATACCAAAAAGGTTTTAAAAGGGTTATCAGACGCTTTTGGAAAAATAGGCTGTCCCCAAATGTCAGTCGATCGATGACTAACTACAAGTCACTTCTGATGACAGAACTAGCTCTGTTAAAAATCAGGTAGTAAATTCCAACCTATTATAAAGGCAGAACAGGGCGCGTTATGCGTAATTTCGAAAGTGAGCCAGTCAGAAGGTCATTTTGGTCAAAAAGGATCCGGCACATGATACTTGCTTTACATTCTTGGAGGAGAAAGAGCAGGAGAATGAGGTGTATGCAATGCTGCTGCCCATGTGGTGAAAGAATTGTCCGCATGGGTATGCACCATTTGACCAAATTGCCATTGCTAACGGGATGCTTCTGTGTGACGCTACTCTCGAGCTTGCTTTGAAGGTCAATAGCTAATGAAACGTCGTGTTGGTACTTTCGAAGCTCTGCTGGTGTTAAGTACCTGGAGTTACCGTTGTATTTTTTTTAGTGTCAAAGCTTTTAATTTCGATACACGCAGGGTTACACTAGAAATTGGGGGATTCATAACTGTGTAGCGCCATATTGCATGGAAAGAATGAGCAGTGCTCTATCAGTAGATTAATGCAGGATACTTCATGACTAGCATTATGGTATTTGGGACAGTAAAGATTTTGCTTGCTAAGTATAAACTGAATCATATCGAAATGTAGTTCAACCAACTCGTCGATCATTTCCGCCGTAAAACAAAGAAATTAGAACATTTTCCATGAAGGGTGATGGTACGGGCAATGGAACAGCTTTCTAAGAGAGGTCTGAACAGCGTTCTTCATTCTTCCCCATCCTCGAGCAATCCAAAAGCCAATTGAACTCGGCTGCAATTGTTACACCTATTTTCGGTGTATTTGATTGGGGACAACTAACCAATGGGGTCTGTATCAAGAATTTTCAAGATCTGGGGACTGATTTGAATTTCATTTAAGACACAACCGGAAACAATCAATTATCTGAAATTTTGGTTGGCCACAAGCTTCTAAGTTATGTGATAGCAGTAGACCTCAAGTTGAGCTGATTGGAGATTGTCAACAATTTTGACATAGAAGGTAACAATAAGTCATTGAAGTTCTTGATATTATCACTTAATATAGAGACGAAAGAGTTTTTTGTCACCGGTTTGGTCTTGCTACACATAGTACTTGAGTAATAAAAATGTAATTAGCTTCTGCTCCTGATGTTTCAATCGAATATCATATCTGACATTAAACTTATACTGGCTGCAGGAGCTGCAGACATCATATATGTGCTGCAGACATGATATATGTTGTCAATTTTGAACAATCAGGAAATCATAGATTCTGTACTGTGAAGATTCTGTACTGTGAAGGCAAACCGGGCAAAGAGATAATCAATGCCAGGTACAATGCAGGCGAGTTCCATGCATCACATTACCACTACCAGGGGATGGTTACTCAGAAAGATGTCCGTTTTGCTATCGCTTACTTATGTAGCGAACCAGAATAAACAAGTCTAAAGCCAAACATCCTGTCATTTGGCCTATCCCAAGTCGTAATTGACCGGATAAGCATGTAGTTTTGCGTACACAGGGTAAGTTTTCAGATGCTATTGGTGAAAGAAGCCTTCCCAAATTTGGCATATACTTCAGCACAAAGAATCGGGAACAAACCACAAAAACCAGAATCAGAACAAGAAATTGTTTAATTCTCCTCCTATATTGAAGTGCATAATGTCAATGACTTTCAAGTGTCCCTGATGTGATCAGATAAAAACAGGCACACACATTTCTTGAAGGTGATTCGCGCAAGAAGTAATTTGAATATTTGTAGAATAACCTAGCCCCAACACATGTTTTACGAATTACCAACAGATTTCGAGGAACGGTTGCAGACCAAGTTCACCAGCGCTGTCAATGACAAGCATATCGAGTTTAATGTTGAGCAGGCATCAAATAGTCTTGATACAAAAAAACTAGGTAACACAACAGTCGAATTCCAGTTAACTTTGCTCGAGTCGTTGACCCAGAGACCCGAGAAAGGAACTAAGGAGGAGAATCCATTCGCCAAGCCTGAACCTGAGCTCACCGTGATAGAAGACTTTGGTGCTGATAATGATTTGAGAATAGTTTTCAATAAGTTCCCAGTTGTTCCAATGCATTTCATGGTTATTACCAAAGAATTCAAGTCTCAAAACAGTCCATTATCTACTTCAGAGTTAGCGGCAACTTACTCAGTATTACATAAGTTGAAGGATTCTAATAAGAAATGGTTTGCGTTTTACAACTGTGGACCAGAGAGTGGTGCATCCCAGCCCCACAAACACATTCAATTCATGAGTTTACCCAGCGGATTTTCGCCATATGCACAAGGCATTGCTTTAGGGTCCTCTCCTTTTATTCCTAATGTAAAGGAGGAACCTCTTCAAAATGCTGATTTAGGCTTTGCCCACTTTGTTGCAAGGTTGCCTGATTACGCAAGTGGGTTAGAGGAGGAGGACTTGACTATGTATTTTGCATCTTTATTGCAAAGAACTTTAACTGTGTTAAGAGAAAATGATTCTAGTCACATATCATACAATTTCATTCTCACCACTGAATACATGATGTTGGTTCCTAGATCATCTGGAAAATTCCAAGATTTAGGGATTAACTCTTGCGGTTTCATGGGTTTAGTTCTTTGTAAGAATGAGCAATTATTGAATATGGTTCAGGATACAGGCCCAGAAGTGATATTGCAACTGTGCGCCTTTCCAACTACAGCAGGCCTTGGTAGTGATGAATATCATTACTAGCTTAGAAGCACTTCTATATATTTTTATTAAGGATGTAATCTAGTGCGCACACTTCCAAATACAGTAGTCTATAGCTAGCCAATAGAACACGCACGAATTTTGATTGTGTACACACCTTTTGGTTTTTTCAAATGTAAAGCGAAATACTCAGACTACGGTTTATCAACTATCACCATGGCTTCTGTTACATCTATTGTCAAGGCAGCAGACTACATTTTGTCTAGACCAACATTGTCTAAGATCATCTCTCCCGTCGCTAAGACTTTCGTTGCATACGCAGGTTACAGAGAAATGGGCTTAAAGTAAGTGTGACTGTATGGACTTTCAAGCATGATGCTGAAAGAATACATGTTGAATGTTACTAACCAATAGATTCAATGATTTACTTGCTGAAGAGAATCCTACCATGCAAAAGGCACTTGCAAGATTACCAGAACAAGAATCATATGCTAGAAACTACAGAGTTATCTCAGCTCATCAATTAGCTATATCTCACCAACTTTTACCACCAAGCAAAGCTATCCAACCCGAAGAAGACACCCACTATTTGATTCCATACATTTTGGAAGCTGAAAAGGAGGCTTTTGAGAAGGCTGAATTGGACAACATTCAAGTATGATGTACTTAAAGCATTGCAACGCATAGCGTACCCATGATTCTTTTTACTGTATTTACTGATTTTCTAGAATATACAAATCTTAGGAAGTAATATTCAATGTGTAATCCTTGTTAATGATTATTTAATAGTAGTTTCTGATAAGTAAGGAGATTATTCATCAGCAAGTCTTACATTCCCAACTTAAACTTCCGTAATTGTTCCAAGGCAAGGAATGTAACAATCGTATGTGGTCCTAATCTGATGAACGAAGGTAACCATCCTCTGAACATGAATCCTACTCCTTCAGTTTTGACGGCATTCAACAATATTGATACAGCACCTCCAGAAGACCCCTTAGCATTCATAATTCGAGTCTTTACAACGTCAGCAGGCGAGCAAACAGTTGTTGCGACCAAACCGGCTAACAAAGATGCACTGAAGTGAGTAGATTTCTTTGAAGCATCCAAATGAAATGAATCAACAAGTAGGGCCTTTGCAATATCATAGGTAACTACCTGGGATGCGGTCATCAAAACCCCACGAACCAAGTTTGGAAATAATCCCCTGAACAATGTTCCAGCACTCTCATCTCTGCAAATTCTATAAATACCATCGAAAGCGTTTCTATAATTTCTTCTTTGCTCAGTCGGTAAACTAGAGTCATTTTGCATTCTGATATTGACAACATCGGAAGGGTTTCCTACTAAACCTCCCAAAGCACCAGCTATCATTGACATTGGAAGCAATACAGCAGTTGATGGCTTTGAAACATTAGACTTTTCAACATAAAAGTCTTTCAATGTTTCATATATACCAAATCTGGCGGTAGAGTATGTAGCTTGTCTTAGTAAAGATGCAGTTAACCCTGAATATATTTTGAAGAAGCCTTCCTTTGTAATGATTTGATAAACCATAGAAGCCAACGATTGTCCAGGAGTTGTGGCAGTCTGTAAACGAACTTTTGCCAAATCTAAAGGGTGGGTGCATACACATGCTACCATACTGGCTGCTCCACCATACCAGAAGCTAGATTCAGTTAGTATATGAACATGATGAGTATAAACGAGGATAGCTTGCTAGCAGTTAATATGACATACGGATAGTTGACCTTCTTTACCACAGGACTTTCTGACATGATAATCTATAAAACTCTATAATTGTCTATCTCAACAGACTGAAGCGGGCAGTGAACTATATATGTCGTTTTGGCGCATCGATCGCTATACATTTTTTCTACCTCACACTAATTTTTTTCTACATCAACGGGTCCAAATCATCATACTATAGAGTTACGGACTCAAGGCTAAATATACAAATATAGGTAAAATGCTATTTGGAGCTGTGTCACTGGCAATGAGTATTCATTATTTGACAGCTTAACATAAATTGTGACTAACATAAGACCGGTGATTCTCGGAACGGAGAAATCCACAGTAAACATAAACCGGTTTTTTCCTTATCTCTCAACCCCACTTCAGCTCCGAAATTGAGGGGTACGGACTTCGCATGCCAACATTTTACGCCATTTCCCGGGCACATCTAGTGTAGTCGAAAAAGCCTAGATTGATGTCAATCAAAGCACCCAAAGCTTATTGTTTGAGGTGTTTCCAGGATGCCCCGGCCCCTCCTAGGGCTTTAGTAGGCTGCAAGGTAAGTGTGTCTTCTCTGGTAACACTTCAATGTCAAGGCATTAGAATGTCAAAAATTTAGCTAACTTCATTCAGGCTCTTAGTTTGGGTTCCTAGATAAATTCACACTAGGTCCAATTTCAAAATTTCAACTCCCCAATGTTCGCGAGTTCGTACTAGCTAATACAGTGTTTCCAAAGTACATTCGAACCCTCGGCCCGGAATTGTTCGTAATACGGGCGAGCCAAATTTCATAATACGGGCCGGAACTTTTCATACTAAGCTTCAATTAAAACTATACCTCCCGTAATCATGAAACTGGTGCTAGCAAACGGTTAGCCCTGTAGAAGATGTACATTGTTCGAANATACAAGGATTTCTTTATTTTCCTTCCTAAGTAAAAATTTCTGAAGCGACCGGAATTCTGACAAAAAATAATGCTCTATGTGATTGACAAATATACTAGAATATATCAATCATGGATATTAATGCAGTTAAATTTAACGATAGGTACGTGGATGGTCTAGGAAATAGCTTTTCTTTAGAGCCCGAAGAGATGACATTGGAATGTGAGATGACTTCTTTAGGGGATTGTTTCGATTTTAGTGAATTCAAAAGAATTAAGGATTCAGCTCTGAGCACCGAAATTGCGAATAATGGATCAGAAATGGAAATGAATGACGAGGACTATGAAATGGATGATATCGATGCAGCAAATATTAAACATGTAGGACTCAAGAGAGGTCCATATAACTATTATTCTGATGCAGTTAGAGAAAGGTTCTGGAACTTGGTTATTGAACAAGGGTGCTCGGTTTATCGGGCTGCGAAATTGAATGACATCTGTTTGCAAACCGCCTATACATGGAAAAGAAATTGGAATAAGCAAGTATTGAAGGAATTATA